TTGAAGGAATCCCTGCTCACACCGCTGACTCACACACTCACCGGTGATATCCAGACAGCTTATGATATTTTCTCAAACTGCTGCGCTGAAAAAGTTTCCAAAGAGCACGCTGTGTGAGACGATAAACATCCTTTAACCTTTTAACCTGTGGCTCAGGCGAGTCAGTCACTGCAAACACATTTGTATCATCAAGTGTTTGTCAAAAGAAAAGGGTATGTTTTTCTACAGTTAGGTTTATTTTCTATGTGCAGTAAAGTGCATCATCTGTGTTCAGTCATACATTTTGTAATTGTTATAAACAGAACAAATGTTTTCTCAATTCACTGCTTGATTCTTAACTTGTTTAAATGAAACATGATGAAATGTCATTGCATTATTTTTTAAATGTCCTTGGCAGTGCATGTGTCTGCATTGTAACTTACTAATAAAACGTCCTGTGTGTACTTTGGTGTGTGATTTATATTATTTTATTGCACATAAATCAGTAATTTTATTTTACAGTTATACACAGCCTTATATCTCTTCTTGCTGATGTTGTTTCCAGTGTAAGTAACTTGGCTGCATGACAAATGTTCTTAGGGATCAATAAAGTATTCTGATTCTGATTCATGTGTAGTATTTAATGATTCAGTAATGAATGAATCTTGACCTTCTTTGAAAACCTTTCACTTCATTTGAAGCATCTCCTCTCTTGTTATGTGCCATTCATTCCCATTCCCTCTGCTTTACTGCTTCCATGATGTTAAGCTGAGTTTAAATACTGATCTGATACTTCCTGGAGGTTTTTATTGTAGAAAGACTCTTTCTGATGAAACATCAGCTGAATTTGTCATATCAGTGTGCTGAAGGAGGTATAACATCTTTTCTGACATGCAGTGGAGCCCTGAGAGTCTGAGACCAAGAGTGAGAATCCTCCTCTTTATTTAGGTTTGAATTGAGTTTGGACAAAGTTTATTCTGAAATGATAATATTGACTTAAAATGTGATGGAAAACTTTAATCTGTTAATGACCACACTCTGCATGGATGTGTGTTTATACACTGCTTTGCTTCTAATCAGAAGATTAAACAGAAGATTAAATTAACAGAGAAGATTTTTCTTATTCTACCACAGTCGCCGTGGAGAAAGGGTTGCATCCATTCTTGGTTACATGGTCACAACAAAATGACTGCTCTGCTTCGGTTATGAGCTTTCAGTTGATATCACATTGCAGGGTGACTCCACAATGACATCACAGTTCAGATATTATGCTATAAACAAGGTATAGCATCACCAGTAGTGACAACATCAGTGAATCACTGATGTTGTGAATCACTGATGTTGTCAGGTGAAATAAAACCCATGAGATGGAGCAGGTACCGCTGTTTCGGACAATGCCACGATGCAGGTATTGACGCAAACATGCGAGGTCTACTCGCCCCGTTCGCAGACGCAGGAGACCCCACAAGGCCTCCGGTGTCCGCTGACGTGGGAGAAGATGCCGTCGCAGACATTAGGCAATTTTAATAAACATGTTGCAGGCGCATTAAAACTTTAATCCAAT